GGCTGTCACAAACATCTTTGGCATCCTACGGCCAAGGGAAATTGGTAAACATTATGCAAGTTGATACGCAAAGGGTCTCCCGGGCTTTCTTTTTCTTCTTTTACTTGTGGTCTATGCCTTTGATGCTCATTGGCATCCTGATTCTGCTCTTCGACATGCTTGGATGGGCTTGTTTAATGCCCATCTTCGTGATGTTTTGCACGTACAAATTCAACTCACTCTTAACGACCCGGCTGATGACACTGGGTGCGGGCCTGAATCGATGCCGGGACCATCGCGTGAAGCTCTTCACCGAAGTGCTCCACGCGCTGCGTTTGTGTGACCCGGCGGGTGACGGGAGCCGGGGCGTGGGCGGCGTGGGCCTTTGGTTGAGCAAAACCATGGATTGGTTAACGTGGCGTTTGGATTGGTTAACATGCATGGTTTGAATCATGTAAAGCTGTAAAGTTTTTGGACACATCATTGTGAGTCTATAGTTTAGGGTATCATTTTTGGACCTGCACCGCTTCCTATGCATGATTTGATAGATAGACGGATGTGTTGAATTCATTTGCTGATTGCTCCGCTTTTCCCCTTCATCGACAGGTAAGATGCTTGCTTGGGAGCATCAATTGGCAGACATGATCGACGTTAAACGTCGAGAAGAGATGAAGTTGCTGAACAATTTCAAGTCTTGGCAGACGGTTCTGAGCCTTTTGTTTGGTGGCTCAGCGACGGCGATTGTGCAGCTAGCCACTTTCAGTGCTTACATCCTCCTTGGTGGACAGCTTACCGCTGGAATTGTCTTCTCATCTTTGGCAATCTTTGATATGCTGCAGTTACCCATGAGTTTGTTGCCCATCACTGTGCAGTATTTGGCACAAACCTATGTCTCCGTGTTGCGCATTGAGAAACTCTTGCGAGCAGAAGAAGTGGATCACCGTGCACCCGAGGTCAGTTTCATTCGAGCCCGACCGGTGAATGTGGGCGGCAAGGCAGTGTTGGCACCGGTCCGAATTCAAAATGCGCAATTCCTTTGGCCCAGAACCGGTGAAGAGGACTCGGATGAGGAGCTTCCGCAAGCACCGCAAGCCTCTTCGACGGGTCAGCGTCGTCGATGCTGTGAACGCTTCCGCAGACGGCAACAGTCTGAAGCGTTGCTGGAATCTCCAGATCAATTGATGAATACGATCATTCCTCAACGCGCACCACAGCTCTCAATCAAGGCCTTCCAACTCCTTCATGGCAAATTTGTCTTAGTGACAGGGCCAGTGGGTTCAGGTAAGAGCACGCTTCTGTCATCCATCTTGGGAGAAGTGCCACAACTGGCGGGTGCTTTGGAGCTGCTTGGTTCAGTGGCCTATTGCGCTCAAATACCCTGGATCCTGCAGGGCACCGTTCAACACAACATCACCTTCGGCGACGTCTATGACGCTGAACGCTTTTCCCAAGTGGTGGACGCTTGCTCTTTGGCTCCTGACTTGAGGCAGCTTTCGAATGGCGCAGACACGGTCATCGGCGAGAGAGGCGCCTTGAAAAGCAGGGCGGGCGGGCTTGGGCGGGCTTAGGCATCGGTGCATTCGAGGCGTAGCGGGTGGTCACATATATATATATATATATATATTTAACCAGGTTGTGACCTCTATTTTGGACCACCAACCACCCAAAATAAGGTCTTTTCCTGGCAAGACAGAGGTCAATCAGGTTCCAGGTATATATGCATCATATTGCCCTTGGAGTCCAGTCGACTAAATTACTTTGACTCGGAAGCTTCCCCAGTAACTGGGAACGAACACTTCAATGAATGTGGCGAAATATCGTCGAACTGGACTTCCAGGGTATATACATCCAATAGTACCAATTGAAAAAAGACGCAGTATCTTATTCTGCGGACATCCCTTTCCATGTTCCATTGTTTCGTTGCCATGCTGGCCATGCTTCGCGGTTTGGAAGGAACGAGACAATCAATTCTGCATGCACAGTTCATGTCCAGTTCGATGCCGTCGTTTTTGTCTGCAGAAAGCACTGCAGGTATCACCCTTTCGGGCGGACAGAAAGCACGCATCAGCCTAGCTCGTGCGGCCTACAGTCAAGCTTCGGTCTATTTGCTGGACGATCCACTGTCCGCGGTGGACGCACATGTGGCGGCACACCTGGTGAGCAAGTGCCTGGGGCCGCAGGGCTACCTTTCCAAGCAGAGTCGCATCCTCGTGAGCCACCAAACACAATTCGCCTCCGAAGCCGATCTGGTCTTGATCATGCGCAACGGCGAGATCGTCGCCGCGGGACCCGCGGCGGACTTCTCCAAGGAGGAGCTGCAATCGGCCACGGTCTCGGAGAAGTCCACGGATTGGACCTCCAGGTCCACGTCGACCGCGACCGCGCCCCGAGCGGGACCGGTGGGCCTGTCTCGGGCGGTGTCGGCGCATGGCGGTCCCAAGACGGAAGCGCTGGAGCTGCGGCGGGCCATCAGCGAACCGAGCGAAGAGGTGGACGGTGTGGCGAAGGAGGAGGACGAGGAGAGAAAGGATGCGGAAGTGGATGGCGAAGAGGAGATGTTTTGTAGCAACATGCGAGTCATGAGCATGCAAGGTGTTGAAGTTCAATTTGTTATTATTATATATTGTTTTGTATACTTCTTTGGTGCAAAATCCGCGGTTATCACCGGAGCATACCAGAGCAACAAACCAACACCTCAAAGCGACTAGCCTTCTACACACTCTTGGATTTGGTGGCCTCAAGAAACTGTCGAGACCTCAAACCTTCTCCTAAAAAGCTGTTCAGTCCACGGTCATTTTGGATCGCAGGAGAGCACCCCTACGCCCGGTGCCGTGATCCAGGAAATCGAGGAACGTGCAGAAGATATGGAAGAGGGCCACTTGAGTTTGCGAGTATGGTGCACTTTCATGCGCGCCATGGGGTGTGGTGCATTCTGGGTGATCGTCTTGAACTTGATCTCCACCGTTGGATATTTGGTCTCGGCACTTTGGCTAGGACATTGGCCTGAACTTCAAGCTCAGATGGGCACGGGCGATGCTCTGGCCGTCTATGCAGTGATCGCCTTTTCGATTTTGTTCTTCACCTTGCTACGGATTCTGATGTTTCAATGGAGTTCCCTCGCGTTGGCCATTTCAATGCACCAAAAAGCACTGTGGGCAGTTTTGCGCTCACCGATGAGTTGGCTGGACACTACACCTGGGGGTCGAATCATCAATCGATTCTCCTCGGATATGTCCAAGATCGATCTAGATTTACAGGGATCCATGCAGAACTTGCTCAGAGCTGTTTGTAACCTGGTGATTTGCATGATTTTTGGGTGATTTTGCCCCATGGATCCTATGGGTGAATCCCAAACCTGGGTGAAGATTTATATATTTGATCGGTTCCTGGACAACAAATCGAAGGTGATCTCTTTGCCAGCATCATGGTGGCAGGTGCCGTGTTGCCCCTCATCTTCTTGATTTTCGTACCCATTTTGCTTGCATATCATTGGATTCAGAAGGTCTACCGCAAAGCAGGACGAGAGATTCAACGCTTGGCTAGCAAAGCCCGAAGCCCGATCTACCAAGGGGTGGACGAGGCGATCGTGGGCGTGACCACCATCCGTGCCTACGACAAGCAGCAGTCTCTCAACGTGAATTGGGATGTGTTTTTTTCTCTTGGATCGTGGCAAACGGGTGAGTAGAACAAGGACCCCAAGGACGTGAGGGGCACCATAGGGGCACCATGGGGCACTCTTGTCCATCCAATCACTCGCCCAACATCGATTGTAGCGAAATAGCGTTGAACACCGGACGTATTGCCAGGTATTTCATGGATCAGAACGAACGGCGCGTGTCTCGAAGTCTACGTTTGGATTTCACTCAGATGGGTTGTCAGAAGTGGTTGGGCTTTCGCTTGAAGGCTTTGGGTTCGATCGTTTCAATGCTGGTGGCCTTGCTGGTGGTGCTGCACCGCTCTTTAGGCCCCTTGGGTCGTGCCATTAGCGGGCCGGCAGCCGGCTTGGCTTTGCGCTATGCACAGCAGCTGAGTAATGCCATGGAAGGTTCCTAGGTGCGGACGGAGACGAGACGAGTCGCGAGTCGCGGTGTGGGGGGGAGGGCCTTTTGGTTTTTCTTGAACATGTGTAACATGAGACATGTTTAAGCGGTTGGAACACTTGGGGAGACGAAAGGCAGACCGCTGGACCGGTTTCATTCCGTTCATTCCTTGGGGTTCATTGGGTTGGGGGTCTCCTGAAGATACAAGGCCATGGTGGTAGACGTGGTAGAGTTCATGCAGAGAGTTTACACCTGCAGAGAACAGTCATGAAAGACATGGGGTTTACTTGAACCTCGTAAGATTCTGAGGAGAAACTCTAGCCATTATACACCCTTCACAACAAAGTCGTCCTCAACATCTGAGTCAGCAAGGCAACTTGTGTGATCATGTTGGCCACTTTCCCCACCTTTCACCGACTCCCCCCTGTGATTCTGGTCAATCTCACAAGGTATCTTGAACAATCTCACGATGGCAGAGCAGTGCTTGGTAGCCGTGGAGCGACTCAATACCTACATGGAGATGGAAGATGAAGGTTCACTGGAGACGGATTTTGACTCATCCATCACTTCAGGCCTGGGCTCCGCACCTGCAGATGGTCAAAGCTCGACTCAAGGATTCGGATGGCTGGTGGATGGCAGCGTGCGCTTTGAGAATGTGGTCATGCGCTATCGAGAGGGAACACCCTTGGTTTTAAAAGGCTTATCCTTTGAGATTCCGGGTGGTTCCAGTCTTGGCATCGTCGGACGCACGGGCGCTGGCAAGAGCTCTTTGCTTCAAGTGCTCTTTCGCATGAGCCCCTTAGAGTCGGGTGCCGTGTACTTGGATGGTCATGACACCTCCAAGATGCCTGGTTTTGCGGATCTGGATGGTTTTTGTTTGGATCTTTTTGTTTTGAACCTGGTAGTTCACCCCTGGCATGGAGAAAAAACACATCATTAAAAAAAACGGGTTCCTTTCCTTTGGCCAAATCCTTCCGCAGGATGGGCTTACACACCTTACGGAAGTCCTTGGCCATCATTCCCCAGGACCCGGTGGGCTTCACGGGCACCGTCCGCTTCAACTTGGATCCCTTCGACCAGCATAGCGATCAAGCCATTTGGGAAGAGCTGGAGAAGGTGCAATTGAAGTCCTATTTTCAAGCGCAAGAAGGTCAACTTCAATTCCTGCTCGCGCAAGGCGGTGAGAACTTGTCGGTGGGTCAACGGCAACTCTTGTGTTGTGCCCGTGCTTTGATCCGTGGCACTCGGATCTTGGTCTTGGATGAAGCGACGGCCTCGGTGGATTTTACGACTGATGCATTGATCCAGAAGATTTTACAGAAAGAAGTGAAGACCAAGCACCTCACCACGCTCACCATCGCCCACCGCATTCAAACGGTGCTGGGCGGCGATCGCGTCCTCGTGGTGCAAGAGGGTCGGGCGGCGGAGTTTGGAGCGACCGAGGTCCTACGCCAGGATCCGCAGTCGATGTTCTACACCTTCGTCCAATCGGCCACTGCCAGTGGGCAGCTTTGAACCTGAGGAGTTGTGAGGATAGGAAAGACCGGACGGGACGTAGGTGTTGATGCCGGAGTTCTGTCCAATTGAGTGTGAATTCCTTTGAACCCGAATTCCTTTGATCAACGATTAGTTCTTTGGACCCTTTGGATGAGTTGCAGGTGAAGAACATCACCTGGACAGATGGGGAACAACTCCCATTGCAATAGTTTCAGAAGCAGTTCCTTGCAGTTCCGCGAGACAAAGAGGGTGCTGACCTTCGTGTCTGTCAGACTTGGATTCTGGATGAAATGCGACCTTCGTGACGGCACCGCCTGAGCCGTTCGGTCTTTCGACCGAAGTCCGCCCAGGCGGCGTGGAGTTCGAACCCGGGACGAGTGGAGGCTGGGTTTGGCCGACTTCGCGGGGTTTCCGTCGCGTTTTCAGCCGTGGAAGTACTCGGGGTCTTTTCCATTTCCATGGGTTTGATGACGCATTCTGAGTGCAATTATTGCACCACGGGAGATTGGAGTAATCCTGTCCACCTATTACAAAACACGGGTCCCCCATCCCTAATAAGGAAACCTCGGTCCCCTGAAATCGGGGTGGTCCAAAATAGGGTCACCTGGGAAGGGCTTCACAGAAAAAAAGTAACCCAGGAAACAACATATATAAAATCCTTTATTAAGCTCGTATCAAAAATTTATAAACCTCCAGATCGAAGGGTCTCTTCCTTTTCCCCTACAAAAACCTTTCTTAGAATAGTGATTCTTCATTAGACTAACAACTAAAGCTTTCGAAAGGTGATGTCGCTGTGCCATGCGGTTTTGCGTGGCCTCCGTGGAAAGTGTGTTTGTGTGAGTCCGTGCCATTGGGGAAGGAAAGCCTGCTGGTGTAAACACGGCGTGCCATGGTGGATAGACAGGGTGGACAGAGGTGGGCAGTTATGGTTGTTTTTGGAACATACTAAGCAAAAGCTCATCCAAAATCGGCCATGTTGGTAGTTTAGTAGCGGCTTGAAAGGGCGGTAGCTTAAAAGCGAAGAAAAACCATATTTAGGGGCTTCCGACATGACTTTTTTTAAATAGGGGTCCGTTTTTTCACTAGGCACTCGGGATTACGGATTCCTTATGACTTCTTTTTCATTTTGATCGTGTCGCCTTGCGGGATTCTTTTCAGGGTCGAGCCATTGCCACGAACCTGGGGACATCTCGAGAGTTCAAAGGAGAGAGACCGGACCCATGACATGCTTTGTTCAAAGAGTGGAAAGCGTGCCGAGACCCTTCCATGTTTCGTCTCGACCTGTTCCGCGTCCGGTTCCGGTTCCGCCGACCCCTCGGGCCGTGACCGAGGGGTGGCGTCACATGGCGGTCACGGTTTCACCGAGGTACCGAGGTACCCGGTGCCTGGGCTCCAACTACGGTGCCTGAGAACGAAGAGCGAGCCACCAGGCCGGTGTGCTGCTGACGTTCGAGCGATAAGCGCTGTGACCGGGGATCGACCATATATGACATGGTATGACTGCCATGACATGGCGGGAAAACGGTACAGTCAAGCACATGATGCGAGACGTCGATTTAATGCCCACTTCCGGCTCATTTGCTGAAACTTTGACCAAAGACAGCCCAACAACAGACAAGTTCTTAGAACATTGACTTGGACACATATGAAGGTACACAAATCAAATTCATCTGCATCTTAGACTTATAGTAGAGACCCTCCATTTTATCAAGCTCCTTTGAGCCATGGGGTGTTCGTCCAGTCGCTGTGCCGAGGGTTTTTCCTCCGAGCATCAGCAGAATGCGCCCATGTGGGTCGTCAGTGTGGAGAAGGTCCTTGGCATGACCGGCAAGCTCCAACCGCATCAAGTATTGAAGTCTCAAGGGCTTTTAGTTGAGTGGAACCCCAAGATGTTCACGATCTTCGTCTCACACAAGTGGCTCGGCCACCAGTATCCGGACATGAAAGGAGAGCACTTTGAAGTGCTGAAGGGTTTTTTGCAAAACCTCATCGCAAGGAAGATCAAGGTCGAGAATGATGCCGTCTCACAATTCTTTGGAGGCAATCGCACTCTGACGAAAGCAGAGAATGACCAAATTGAAGGTGCTTACATTTGGCTGGACTACTTCTGTGTGCCTCAGATTGTAAACTATGAGGGTGAGCATGAGTTGGAAGCACTGCGAGCAGAACAACTTCAATATGTGCACAGCATTCCCGCCTACGTAGACCATTGCCAGATGTTCTTTGCTTTGGTGCCCAATGCCATGCACAATGATACTTTGTCAAACGTCAACTACTACACTTGGCTCGACAGTGGCTGGTGTCGAACAGAATTTTGGTGCAAACTTCTGTCTACACGATCCAACATTCCCATCATTGTGGTGACCGGAAAACAAGCGGCAAAGTTCTCTATGCCAATGTGGTTTCGACACCCAGTACATTCGGGCCAATTCTTGGTCGAGAGAGACCGTGAAGCATGCAGCCAGGTCATTCAGACAGCCTTGGACAAACATTTGTCAGAGCTGAGTCGGAGCAAGAACCAAATGAGCTACCGGCTGTACTTGGCACTCTATGAAGATATGGGAGGTCTCAAATGCAAGCAGCGCAGCATGCAAGACTTCCTGTGGGAGTTTTCCTTCTCCCAGCCCCTCCAGCAGTACAAGGGACTGGGACCAGCAGCTTGCGCTGCTCTCACAGGAGATGATCAGCTGCTGCGCAGCGTCGTCGCAGCCAAAGCCTCCCTGCAGACCCGCGCGCCAGCAATCATGGAGGTGATGAACATTCAAGGCTTTACTCCATTGCACTTTGCCGTGTGGTTCAGAAGTCAAGATCTACAAATCTTGGAGACATTGTTGGAGCTTCGTGCAGATGTGAATAGCTCCACTTTGAGTGCTATGCCACCCGTGCACCTATGCCGCACGGTGGGCGCCCTAGAGCTTCTAGTTCGGCATGGTGCAGGGGTGAATTTTCAGGGCAAGCAGCTCCCACAGTGGTGTGCCGTCCACAACATGGCTGCTTACAGTGTTCCCACTGAAGTACTTGCTCGCCTGCTGGAGCTGAAAGCCAATGTGAACGGTGGAAGAGGAGGCACCGCAACTCAATCCCCTTTGCACAGCATTGCCTATGCAGGGAGTTCCAACAATGACCTGAGGTCCGCACAGCTGTTGCTCGACAACAAGGCTGACATTAATCAAGTCCTACGGCCAGAGGGCATGATGAGGAACATTGAGTTGATGAGCAGGGCCTACCGCCAGTGTTGCAGAGAGCCATCCCTAGTTCTCAGAGTTTTGACTGACTTGAGCACCACCGCTTTGGGTTGGTCTGTCATGTTTGACAATGAGGAGTTCATGGTCTTTCTGCTCCGCGCTCGAGCAGACCCGGAGATCAAGAACAACCGTGGCCTTCGACCACTGGACTTCGCCAAGTCCGAACGATTGCGACGCATTCTCCGAGACCCAGCTCCACACATCTATCTTCTGGAGCACTATTCCGAGTCGATCAGCAACTTCCTTTGATCCTTCTTATGAGCTCATGATATCAATTGGCCACCAGAAGCATGGCCTCTGGTTTTTGGTCCTTTTATTTCCATCTGGCCTTTGGCCGCTCCTCGACACCAGCCGCTTCTGAGAACATCCGTTGGAGTGCGACTGGTTCCGTCGGACTGACAGGGCTAGACATGTTTTTCCATTATTTTGCACAGTTTTGCGCAGTTGGCTGGTTTGAGCCACTGTGCTTTGTCTGGCTGTTCTCCCGATCCAAAATCTCCACCGTCTCACCGCGAGGCCGCAAAGGAGAGAAACAGAGCTGGGCGGGCTAGGGAAACAGAGCAAGCGTGGTCAGCATTTATGGTCAGCACTTGGTGCCACTTGGTGCTCATTCTGCCACTTGGACACGCATGGCATGAGAGTCTCCAGGTGCATCTCCGTTTGTCTTCAAAGCGGTTCGATCTGGGTCGGTCAGCGTTTGCCCGATGAACGCCTAGGTGACGCCACACGTGGTGATGCCGCTGAGCTTGACAAAGTCAGCGACTTTTCAGGCAGATTCACCGACCAGGACTAGGTGGTTTCGAGGTCGGATCTGGTGGTCTTTGGTGGATCATGGCAGATTTGTTGAGTTTGGCATTTGAAAGAGTTTGGAAAAGAGGAAGGTGTTCATGAGCTCAGCTGCGGGGGTCGCTGTGGTTTGGAGTAGTTCTTGTTCTGCTTGGACTTTAATATTTTTGGATTAGTTGCAGTGACCCTGAATACTTCTGACAATTGCTGCCAGGTTTTTTCTCAGTTTTGGTTGAGGTACATGTCCAGGCTGGGAGCCCAAAATATCAAAACCCTTCCAATCCTCTCCAGCCCCATCAGGGTCTGGTGGCACACACCGTGGCACGAATTCTGTGGCTACGCTTGGACTTGAGGCAGATCGGCAACTCGTTGGTGTTGATTCCTGGCACTATCCGTGATGTTTCTTCATTGATTCATGAATTGAGAAGAAACAGCTAGAAATAGTTCATGTTAAACCTCAAGATGATCCCTTGTGGTGTTCGGAGCAAACGCCGCACAAATCCAGACTCACTGATCCTTCAGCACCAGGCCAATAGCTTCGATGCGAAAGCCGAAGAGGCGGCATGTCATGTTTCCGCAGAATGCAGTTGTTGCAGAGTCACGCCCACTCTTCACACTTCAGAGGCTTGTGAGACAAGTACAGTAGAAGGATTGTGGACGATGAGTCTTTTGCCGATTGCCCATACTTTACACTGGGCCCTTTGTGCTTGTCTCTTGGTCTACGACCCCATGTCGTTCTTGGAGCTTTCCGTTTTCGGATCAGGCAGAAGTCCAACATCTGCGCCATGAGTACCCGCCCCAGATGACTTGTCTCCTCCGAAAAATATCACTGCGTGTGATGTGTTTCTTTCGGTCGGATCTGTGCGCAATGTGTGCAAGGCAACTTCATTTCATGTGTTTCTCTTCAGTAACTCTTGAAACAAAAGGTGAAGCTCAAACAGACCTGCGATTTGAAGTTCGTGTGCATTATTCTCATGCCCCTGTGAAGCCATGATTCTTTTTCTTTGCATTAATCTGTATCCTTCAACCATGACTCTCAAGTGGTCGTCGTCAAAGCGTGCCGACCGTGCCGTTGCCCGTGCCGTGCCGTTGCCCGTGCCGGTGCGCACACGTGACGTTCCACGTGCGGCCGACGGATGTCGGACCTGCAGGCCTTTAAGGCCGAAGGTTCGGAGGACTTGACGAAGAACTTCACCAACGACTCCGCCATGATGATCGCCTACGAGCGGTGCTTGGAAACGTCCAAGCCGGCGGAGGAGCGTCTGGTCATGGATCCTTTCGCCCATGTGTTGGCGGGGCCCAAGGGAAAGATGTTGTCGGACCAGTTTGAGGTGGGATGTGGACAGTTTGGATTGGATGGATGGCCAGAGTTTCACAAGACTTGGACTGCTGTGCGGACTCATTTCATTGACGAGCAGATTGCCAGATGTGGTCAGATTGCACAGATGGTGAATCTGGGCGCTGGCCTGGATACGCGGGCATACCGTTCAGAGACCTTCCGTGGCTTCTCGAAGTGCTTCGAGGTTGACATGGAGATCGTGAACGAGGAAAAGCGCCGTATCTTTGACCAAGTTCTCGGGAATCCCCTTCCCATGTGTCCAGTCTCTATAATTGATCTGGATTTTCTAGCCGATCACAAGAACTTGCGCCATGAATTGTCTGCTGCAGGTTTTCAGACTGAAGAGCCCTGTCTCTTTGTAGCTGAAGGGCTCATCATGTACTTGGGCCCAGCAGGAAAGCTGAAGCTCATTCGCGATATCTCGGCTTGTGCGGCTCCTGGTTCTGTTTGGGTCCTTCAGTTCATGGATCCCTCAGATAGTCCTTGGGCGAACAGCGAACAGGCCAAGTTTGCGCTCACCAGAGAAGAAGCCGAAGAGGCTCTGACACAAGGTGGTTGGAAAGACTTGCAATTCTTGAAATTCGGTGATGAAGGCCTAAATTTTGGTCGATTCCCGCTGGATCAGTTCCGGCCGTGTGCCGCCTTCTCTTTCGTTGTGGCCGTGAAAAGCTAGAACGAAGGTGGCACAAACCCTTTTGCTTTGCAGAACATCGAAATTCCTTCTCTTAAAAAGGAGAGAAAAGGTTTCTTCATTATACAAAATGCAGAATCTGAATATCTTGAATAAAAAAACTGAATTTCCAACAACATGATTTGCATTCTTGCAGACATGAATTCTTTGCATGACATAATACTATGGCAATAAATAACAATATATTTATATATATTTTGATATTATATGTTTATAAGTAATATTATTTTTTTTTAAATATGCAATTATATATTAGTTATTTATGATTAAATATATAATAAATTGCTATAAATATTATATTATATTATTTTTTAATAGATATTTATATTTTGGATATTTAAAGATTATATTTTTTGATCGATTGAACTAAAGATTTTTTTTATAAGCCATTTTTATTTTTATTTTTTAGGATATAAATATAATTGAATTGATTTTATAATAGAATATAAAAATATATTTATAATTTGATTTTTAAGGAATATATTTATATATTTATTAATATAGAAATATTTAATTTAAGGATAATATATTTTGAATATATTATATTTATTTATATTATATATATTTTTTGAAAATCATTAATTTATTATATATTTAAATATTACTATAAATATATTTTGTTAATTTTTATTTATTAATATTTGTTATTTGGATACTGGTGCGGAGATGTAATAGACCAAGTGGAAGCTCGGAACACTCGAAGTTTCCGGCTCGGATCGTTTCGGGCGGTTTGCGAATTCGCGCCCTTTTTCATTGCGCCATTGGTTAGGATCGATCGCCTATCGTTAGTGGTGGTTAGTGGAGGTTTGGGCTATGTCGGCTACATTATGAAACATATGAAACACACATACTGATAAGTGGTTTGAAATGCCAACTGCAATTTTACACCGGTAAAAGGTGTTGGGAACAAAAAAATATCAGCTGGATTTTCAATCGATTATCCACTTTTCGTATGACAGGTTGCTATAGTCGCGCCTCTAGGATATCATGTCCTCCTGGAGTGTGGTGCCGCTTAAGCTATTGATTCGGTGAGGAGTCTGAGGAGTAGGGTTGTAAAAAGTGCAACAAGGACGTCGATTAACTCTGTGAGCCTGCTTTAGGCCGTGGAAGGTGTGATCGAAGGGCGTCACATGGGTGCCCGTGGTGAGAGGGCAATCTTCATTAAAATGGTTTAGGAGTTCCCGGTAGTAGCGCGACAGCAAAGCCTGACATTGTCGAAAGGACTGGTCGATTTCTTCGGCTTCTTGCTGTTCTAGGTGCCATTGTTCCATCATCTCGTTGTGATGCCGGCGGGTTTCCGCATTGGCCTCAGCGGCTTTCACCAAATCGTTTTCCAGCTGGGAGATGCGGCGGTCGAAGAATAGGCATGGTCATCTAACGCATTGTTAAAGTGTCGCTCATTGCGAGCTTGCGCCGCCCTCAATTTGACCTTCTGCCTAGCTTGTAGGTCAGTGGTGGCGAGGATGAAGAGGAACAAGTAGGTCAAGATAGACCATTCCTCAGTAGGCTCATCGCCAGCCAGACAAAGACCATCTGGCTTCAACTGCGTGAAGTCACCTGTGGGCCCTGCCGTAACAGCATTGATCTGTGTGAAGTAGATTATCATTGCCATGGAGGTTCTCAAAGGCTTGGAACTTGGCCATGATGTAGGTCCAGTGTCGGCGGCTTCATCCTGCAGGACATTCTCATCCTCATAGTTCGATTCTTCCTGCACACTTTCAAGGTGTTCGGTGGAGTTGAAATGGTGTTGTTGTGGTTTGTGCTGTTTCGTGTTGGTCTTCTTCTTCACTTTTGCATCGGCGAACTCTTGCCGACTTTCTTTACGTTCTTTTTTGCTCTTTTTCTTGGCCGAGGTCTACTGAGGATCCCAGGCCAGCTTGATGCGGTGTCGCCTCAAGCGATTAGCCAACAGGCTTCTTGTAGAGCTCTTTGTCAAACCATCAGCGAATTGTCTTTCGCTGCTGGCCCATTTGAGACAACCTTCAAGATCAGTTGTCTGCTGCTTAGCCACCTTGATCTCGAGGTAGGTGCGCTTGTCCACTGAAGAACTTGCGGAGGTGGTGGTTTCTTTATGCCATGCATCGTAGAGAGCTTTTGCATCCGTGACCAAGGTAGGTCGTAGAGCTGAACCTTCTTGTAGTCGTTCACGAAGCTTGGGCTTTGGGTCAAAGATGATTGACCAAAACCTGCAGATGTATTCTGCACTGTCACTGGCGCCACCAGCTGCTTGAGCCTCTGCACTCAAACTGGAACGTGCGACTCGGGGCAGTTTGTAGCTGCGCCAATCAACCACATGGTATGGGGTCTCCTTTTCAAAGACCTCTTCAGGGACCAGGATCGCCAGGTGTCCTCCTTGAGAGGTGTAGTCCTCCCGGGCTGCATGAGAGGCATCAAACATCACCACCAGGCGGATCTTTGAGAGGTCAGAGTGGTTGCTGACTTCAGGGTCACGTCAGCTTGTTCCTTGGCGAACTTGAGAAGGGCATTTGCTTCCATGATAGCACGAAGCTTGCCAGTGCGCTGTTGTCCACTGATCAAATTGCAGCTAGCCTGTAGATGAGGTTATGACTGGACTGAGGGCCATTGCAAACTTCCGAGGAGGGCTCGTAGCTGTCCTCGATCATGTTCATTCATCGGATCTTCAGGGCCGCGTCCTCGATGAATAGTCACAGGTTTTACCTTGTGCAAGAAGTGGCTTTGTGACAAGTTCCAGGTGAAGTCCTTGCGGTTATGGATCACGCCGCAGTACTCCATGGATTCATGGTCTTCTTGCCAACTTCTAAACTCAAAGACTTCCTTCAGGCGTCGTTCAGCTGCGATGTAGGTGGAACAGCTGCGGTCGCCAGCTCCAAGCATGTCGTCCACGTGGAGTGCTATCAGGCCACAGGGAACAGAGGAACCATCTTCACGATGATGATGAAGTACAAAAAGACATGGATCAAGGTCATGTGGTGTCCATCCTTCCTGTGTCAGCCTTCTCGTGGCTTCTTGCCACCAACGACGAGGAGCATCCAACTGGCCGTAGACAGGTTTGATCAAGGCCATGCGGGTTTCAGGACCGCAACCAAGGATGTGGAGGCAATCATTTGGAAGTCGAAGCCATAGCTGCCTCTGTTGGGGTAGTCCTTGAAGAAATGCCGTGGCCACATCGGCGGACAATCCATTCCATCTCAATATGGCAGAGATGGAGAGTAGCAAATTGCGAGCCAATCTGGATGCCGTAGGCGATTGAGTGTCCAGGTTGCCAGCTAAGGCATCGGCATCATTGTAGCCTCGAACAACCAATCGGGCCTTAGCCCTGGGAGTGCCATCAGGATTCTTTGCCCATTTCAGCAGCATTCGGCTTGACAGAGTTCGATCTGCATCAGCCTTGTCTGAGGTAGTGAACTCCCAGACGCCACATTCGAAAAAGCTGCAAAGCTCCTTGCACTTGGCCTCGAAGAACAGCTGTTGCTCTGCAGGTGTGAGGTTCTTTTCTCTGATTTCCGACTTGCTTTTCTCCTTCTTGATGTGTCGGAGCTGCTGGTTCTTCATGTGCTGAGCGGCCTTTCGGATGGGCTTCACGGAAGTGGGAGAGCTTGAAGACAAGGTTGCAGTCATTCCACATTCCTTGCGAGTCACGGCATTGATCTGGAAGATCGTGCAGCCAACCCACTTTGAGGGTAGACCTTTGGCGGCTTCTTTGGAGTGTCTCTTGAACACATTCTCAGTCTTGAAGTGGTCGGTGATCGCCGAAGGTTCTTGTCCTGGCTCACGAAAGATGGTGACTCTGACATCATCAAGTTTCTCCAAGGGCACTGGAAGGTCAGCCTGATCGCCTGGAAGAAACTTCTTTGACCGTGGTCGTACATGATGGCGAATGAGGCATCCCTTGACTTCCCAGAAGTCAGCCAACTTTTGTTTGAGCTCCAGGGAATTGTTGTTCTTGTTGAAGGTCCAGCCATGAGGAAGATTGGCCGTGGACTTCAACCACCATTTCACCAGTTTCGTGAGGAGGCTTTGCATATGGGCTTGGTTGCTCATGATGCCGTGGTCGTCTTGGACCGAAAGACAAAGTTTCCTGCTTGTCGAGTCGGAGTCGCTGCTGCTCGAAGGTCTCAGGGGCAACTGGAGTTCTGTAGGCTTCTGACGTCACAGGGTCAAGATTCATCGAATTGCAGGAACACTTGGAGGCTCAGGCTCAATCGAAGGTTCGGCGATCAGACATCTCATCCAGGTGTTCAGGAACAGCCGGTAAAAGGTGTTCTGGTATTGCTGGATGTTCTGGAAGTTCAGGAGCCGTGGAGGCGACAGGAGCAGCGGCTGGAAAAGACGGATTTCCCGGAGTGTCAACTTCATCAGAAGGTTCTGCTGGCTCTGAGGGAGTGTAGTCCTCCAAGGAATCATCGATGGCTGCATCAAGCCGGCGGCGTTTGTGCTCTGGGCCTTCGTCAGGGGACATCTCTTCTTCGTGTTCTTCAACATCCAGTAGATCTTGCTTGTTGGCCCTGTTCAGATCAAGGAATCTGGTCATGCCCCTTGACTTCAGTGACTGGAGCGTGGATGCAGCATCTTTCAAGTTCTCGACAGCGGTCTCCTCGATGGCAGTGAAGTCTGGTCGAACGTGATGTGGTGCAGCACGAATGAGTTGGGTTTTGTGAGCCAACCAATAGACATGAGGGCTCCCGTCCTTTTCCTCGACACAGACAACCTTTGCAGGTCCACGCCATCGAATCTTGCACAACTCATGTTGTTGAGCATCTCGCCAGTAGAAGCATCTTTGGCCAGCTAGCAACCGTTGATTGACGCCAGAGTAGCGTCGCAGAAGAGCTCGTCTCAACTTTCGATCAGTCTCTGCCTGGAGGATTGCAGTCTTGGCCACATTGCGTTGGTGCAGGTGCTTCTCGAAGGTCTCGTGTTCATGTAGTGCGCAAGAACTGGACTGCAGTAGACCAGGTTGAGCAGGTTGGTAGCCAAGGACCCATTGAGTCGGCGAGAATCCTGCCACTGTGGGCTGAGCATTGAGTTGAGGCAGGATGTAGGTCAAGGCTTGACGAATGCCTTCTCTTCCTTCCAATTTCAGGTCGTGCATGTAGACCTCGATGACCTTTCGCAAGACAGCATGTCTTCGTTCAACTTGACCAAGTCGTTCGTGGGCTTCACCAGGAGCAACTTTGTGGCTGATGCTGTGGCTGTCGGACCATTCCATGAACTCATTGCTAAGCCAGCCGCGACCTTCATCAGTCACCAACTCTTCTGGAACACCGAAGTGAGCAATCCAATGTCGCTCAAAGGGAGATGATGTGGTCCTGGGTCTGCTCGGTCTGGACCTGACATGCTACCTGGTACTTCGTAGCACTGTCCAAGATGGCCATGATCGGCCACTTCTTCTTATCGGTGCGAATCCAGAAGACATCAGCTTGGATGGACTGATTGAAGCGGTCGGCCTTTTGCACGTTGGCTGGAGCAGGTTGATTTGGTTTCTTGTAGCGCAAGCATGAGCTGCAGAGGTAGTTCTCAGCCACGGACAAAACATCAGTCGAAGCGCCTCTGGCTTGAAGGAGGTCGACCAGGGCTTGAGCAGAAGGCATCAGCGCGCCTTCCTTGGACTACAAGACCAAGAGATGCCGGACGAGATCTACCTGTCTCCCAGTTGCGGTATGCAGAACATCTCTGCAACCTCAGAGCAGAGAAAAGAGGTATTTCGAGGTCTTCGAGAATGGCACCACAGGACCCACCTTCAGTTCTGCAAGCGGGTCTATTTGAAGCAGTTGAACTCAGGACGACATGGACACTGAACAGCCAACCTCAGCATTGTCTTGTCGAGCCCGACATCATCAATGTCAATATGGTGCTATGTGCATGGATGTTGATGGAGCATGGAAGCCAGCAAGAAAAGACACCACCATCCTCACGACCAAGCGCTCCGTTGCTGAAACGATGAACCGGCTATGCTCAGGTGATCATGAACATTGTCGACTTGAAGGCTACATGAAGGGACATGGTACACATCGCACCTCGTTCATGGAGGAGTACCAGCCCGCCTTCGCCTCCACACCGGGTACTTCATTGGCCTGTTCAGAGAAGCCTCAACTCTGGGAAGGCTCCTTCGCGGTTCGTGAGCAGTCGCAATACCTGGGCAAGATCGTTGATCTCCATGCAGAATGTCTCAAAGCTGAACGTTTTGACGGTCATGCCAATTGCTGCAGCCATCTGCGACAGTCGAGCTCTTCCGGTGTAGACTTCCCATAGGACACGAGGAGGAGCTTGATGTTCTTGTTTGATTGCCTGATCAACCAAGGTGTTCATAGACTTCAGCTGTGCTTGGGTGTGCATGACCAAGGTCTTCCAGTGCTTGGTGGTCATGGGAGACATGTCCTCTGGTGGCATCTGTTCTTCAACTTGGTAGAGGTGCTCTTCCATCAAGAAGTCTTCCAAGGAGCCGGGGTCGCCCAGCTTCTCATCGAGCTGAAGGTCAAAGGAGGGTTCCCACGTCAGCTGCTCGGACTCAAACGAGGACGTGAGGTCAAGAAGGTACTCCTCGCGGCGACCGAGAACAGCATCTTGCCAATCAGCATCACCAAACTTGACCTTCTGCTGGGAGAAGTCTATGGTCATATCCAAGGCACGGATCACGGGTCTTCCGACCAGCATAGGAGTTTCGCCAGACAAGACGAAGCCTTGGATCAATCCATGTTGTCCATGCAGGTAGACTGGCACTTTGGCTGCCCATGAGCTGACCTTCTGGTGGTCGCCACCGAAGTGGAAAACTCGATGGCAGCGCTGCAGTTGGAGTTTGTTGGTGTCATAGCCCAATTGCCGGAGGTGGTTGACATAGCGGACCAAGGGACCTGATCCCATCAAGAACGAGGAAGCGCCTAGGTCCAACATAGCACAGTCAGGGCGTTCATGGCCAAAGGAGTCCTCAAGCATGACCAGGGACGTCTCGTCGCCATTCCTTCAACTGCTTGGCGCTTGCCGCTTGTCGTAGTCGCCGGCTTAGGCGTAGAGCTCGTCTGTGTGCATTGAGCTGTCTTATGTGAGGTTGAGCCGCAGCGCATGCATGCTGGAGCCAATGCTGCGCGAGCTCGTCCCTTAGGATCTGCAGGCTTTCCAGGAGGTCGATCATAGCGATAGGTGCTGCTTTTTCCTTTGCCTTTTCCTTTTCCTTTCTTCCCTTTTCCCATGCCCTTGAAGGGCTTTTGAGAGGAGGTAGAGCTCGATGAAGGGCCGGAGTCCTGGAGGGCTACCACTGGAAGAAAGCCTCTGCTGAGCTTCAAGTCATTGAAGCGCTTGCGAGCATCAACGTATGAGGCATAGGCTTCATCGTACTCTTCGGTGTCGAACTCATGCTCGTGTTCATCAGGTTCTTCCTGGTAGTAGGCGGCATCGGCGTCAAAGGACTTCCACCACAGGTCATCATAGTTCTCTTCATCGTCCATGTAGTAGGCATCATCTTCCTCATCGTAGGTCGGGGCATTGTCGTCGCATTCGAAGAAGGCTTCAGAATCATCGCCAGCAAAGTAAGAGCGACCTTTGCCGGATCCAGCACGGTTCCAGCGGTCTCTGAGGAGCTGACCGCCACCTTTGTAGTCTTGGCCGAGGATGGCAAACATCGCTTGCTGGATCTTGGCTCTTTCAAGTGAGGCGGCCTGTGTCACGATCATCTGCTTTTGCTCACGTGTCAGGGCGGCCTTTGTCAGGAGGAACCACCCTTGGATTTGAGTGGGTAGTCGAACACCATGCTTCTCGATTTGCTTCAGCCGGTCGTCGTGGTCCGTCACATAGTTCAACAAAGTCTGACCTGGCTTGCGAGCCAAATGCTCAAAGTATGACGAGAAGTCGGCAGGCATCTCGACATTGGCGTCATACTGGAAGGAGCCGTCCAAGATCTTCAAGATCTCTTGAAGGGCTTCGGGGTCTTCCGCCTTGTCCAGGTTGAAGTCTTCGCACAGCTTCCATGCAATTCCTGAGAGGCTGCCCAGCAGGTTCAAGATCGCTTCGCCCTGCCGTTTTGACAAGGACATTTTTCTGTAGTAGATCAAGATTCTTTTCCGCCATTCGCGGTATCCCGTTAGGGAGCCATCGAAGAGCGGGATGAAACTATCCCGGACCGAGTGGTTGTCGAACTCGACCTTCTTTTCCGTGGTCGTGGAAGAAGCCATTCTTCAGGTTGAAGGAGGTGTCACCACAAGTGCTGTAGAGCTCGTCAAGGTCAAAGAGCTCGGTTGTCCAGCAAGAGAAGTACCAACGCAGGTTGAACGACCACATAGGTCCCCTTTGCTGAGCGGCTGCATGGGTCCCCTACAGGAGGCCATGTTGAAGTATCACATGGTCACTAAGAGCTTTGCAGCTTTGTTATCAATATGCACTGCACGGAGTCAGAGGTGTCACATGTTCACCGATAAATTGACAGATTTGTGGACGTTCTGCACTGTGCTGAACCAGATCGATCACAGTTCACCGAGAGATTGACCGATTTTCATACCGATCTGCACTGCGCAGAGCCTGTGTAACTCGGAAGTTCTGGAATTTCAACATACACCCTATAGGTTATCAGCTCTGGAACTCGGAAGTTTCATGTTCTTATTGTTAGGGTTTTGGTGAAAGATGTTTGACAGGGAAACTTTGACACTGCGCGGCCCGAAACTTCGAGAAACTCGATCGAGTCTTTGTGTTTTTCCTGCACGGTTGAGAAACTCGATCGAGTCTTTTGCGTCGATGCATGTTTTGTTTTTTTCGATGTGTGTTTGAGGGGGGCGGCTAGCCCGGGGGCCCGCGATGCCTAATAGAACACACTGTACATGTTGCAAACAATTTGTTCAGAGCACGATATCATCGATTCCTACGCAAAAAAAAATATATATATATATGCATGCGTCCATGAACACCTACCCACCGCCATGAGCACCACCCACTGTATCCCACTCTAACTTTTCTTCCCGGCGGGCGATATGCAATGCCCTCGAGAAAGCGGCAGGCCAGGCTGGAATTGCCTTGGCTGGAACTGCTGGAGTTTTTTTTGATCTGACAGTGTGACGCCGCACGCAGTCTCACACAGCAGCTCGAGGACTTGAAAGAATGAGTCATTGTATCTCAACCCTGAGAGTCAAAGACTATAAAAAGAATGGTCTTTAGGTGACCCGAAAAGGAATATCCTTTACTGCAGTCGGTCAAAATATATGTCTTTGGACTTCTAGGGTCAAGAAACACTTCATATATACAGATCGACCCGCAAATAGAACACGGAGACCCGCAAATAGACACTACATGTATTTGGTTGCGCCTTTCTCACAGCGGATCTTACATGGCTGGCCGGCGTTCTCTACAGAAAGTTCATCGTCAAGATCTGGCCAAAGAATTTTCGGCGAGGCTGATCGACCGGCTGAACATCGAGGACGTGGAACGGTCGGGACGGGTAGTCCCTCGTGGGTCGTTGAAAAGGCGGTGTGTGAGGAACCTCTTCAATTTCATCCCTGGACGATTTTCCGGCCGAGTATTCACCAAGAAACTCTGCAGATTGATCGTCCGGGATTTGGTGCGCCGCTTGGATTTCGTGCCAATTCGAGATCCCTTGGAAAGCTTCGGTACATGGGTGAACAGGGAAGCTGGTCGGTTGCAGCAAATCGCTCAACGAGCTAAGAAACTTCTTTCGGCCCCTTGATCTCTCTATATGAGCCATTTTCTTTTGACCCGTACGGCATACCATCAAGATCGATCCACGGTGGTTTTTGCAGGGTAGATGGCACAGCCCAAAATATATTTCACAATGTGGAATGATAGATCGAGGATCGATAGCCACCTTTTTGGGGCGCCCTCTACTCTAGTTTTGACCACGCCATCCGACACGCGCCCGCCGCGTATATATCTCAGGAAGGCTCGAATGGACGCGAGCACTCCACCGCGGGGATTGAGGCGTGCCCATTTTTGTTCAAGCCTCCATCGAAACCACATGCAGTGCTGCCAGGTGGAAGCCATGGATGAGGACCGATATCTTGATCCTTGCCAGGACCCACCGGTGAAGAAACGAAAGGCAGGGACCCCTGTGCTCTCTGGTCTGTGGTGTACATGGCCCGCGTGCAGGTTGATGTTCCCGAGGATGAGGACTCGAGCCTCCTCCTTGAGGCAGGTCGCAAGTTCGATTTGATAAACCTGGGCGAATCTTCGTCCTTCCTGATCAGCCAGGGCGAATCATCGTCCTTCCTGATCAACACGACCCCGACAGAGGTGCGAAGTACTGCATAATCTTGAACGTCTGTTCACATGAATTTGCGCAGGAGCGCGGCTTGCCATCCCCTGAAATGACGATGGCTTCGTCCCTGGCTAGAGTTTTTTATGTTGGAACATTTCAACATCTCTTTTTGTTTGGAACTCATGTCCAGGCTCCTGACGTGACAGAGATCGAGTCCCCCAATTTGGAGGACACTACTTTTGCCAAGTGGCTGACAGCCCATTGGAGGCCAATGTGTCTTTCCAGGATGAAATGGTCCCGACGGAGATTCCTTCGGATGAGGACGCGGTAATGGATCCAGTGACAGTTTGTTCAGCACCATTTCTGCCAGGAACTGGTTCCTACAGAGATTCCTTCCGACGAAGAGGCTCCAACAGCATCAAAAAAGTTCAATGCTAATTCACTTCTTAAGTGTATTGCCGAAATCTCCCAATTGCTTGTTCAGGAACTCGAGGACTATGAGGCCTACATTGGGGCTTGATGTCTGTCACACACTTTTCTTTTAGACTCTTTAGACTGGCAGGACTTCGTTTACGAAGAACACTGTGAAGAAGGAGAAGAAGAGCTAGAGGAAAAATGTTTCCATATCAGTCAGTTCATGGGGTGCATTCTCCATGGGGTCCAAGGTTGTGGAGGATCCTGAAGAGGAACCTGTCAACACTGCTGTTCTTTTTGCCCCAGTCACCATTTGTCAGGCCTTGGACGATGATCCTGAAGCCGTGGAAGAAGAGGCTCCCACGCGGTAGGAAAAAATATATGGTTCAATCAACTGGTTCTGAGGAGTTCACAGCCTGACCTGTCAGGCCAGTCATATGCTTGTGGTTCCAGAACCTGCTTGTCACGATGAGGCCATTGTGTGAGAACCTGATTTTGCCCCTGCAATTGGTCACCATTTGCCAGGCCCCGTATGATCTTACGCATTGTGAAGAGGCCCCCACATGGCAGAGAAACTTTCGATGGTTACGCGAACATTTGTGGTCTTTCTGCACAGGTCCCGCCATCGCTTTTTGTTGGCCCAGTCAACCACTGAGGAAAACAAACAGGTCATCCCGTACACCTGATATCCGCTGATCACTGGCCGCCCAGGCGCCAGTGGAAGACTGCGAAGATCCACACACACCTCAGAGACTTGCAGTCACCTCTGCATCAAATATGATTTTGGTGTTGCGTATATATGTACTTGCAGGTGGACGATGAGGTGGACTCTGCTCGCTGAAAATGTACACTGTCTGTTGTGCACTCGATCGATCGAGGTTTGTGTCGTGGGGACATGTACAATGTACGTTGCACTAGTTGGAAGTTTGATTCTTGCCAGGAGCGGGACATGTCTTTTGATGATTTCCGCAAAAGGGTCCTGGCCTTTGTGGGGGAGCGTGTTTCTCCTCGTCGGCTTCGTGATGTGATGACCACTCCATCGACGAGGAAGTTCTTTGCCCCTGAGTTTACACCGGAGCCTGTTCAGCCGATGTCGAAACGGCAATTGGTGGCAGACATCAAGGCCGAGAAAGAGGCGGAGAAATCGAAGAAAAAGAACAAAAGTTCTTCCAAGGCTACTGGACAGCTGCCTGCATCTTGTGAGCCTGGATCTTCGAGCTCGGGTCAGAAAAAACCAAAGAAAGCATGTCAGAAGGCGAAAACGCCAACGAAGACTCGCAAGCCCAACAGTGGGAGGCCTACTTTGCAAAGAAAAAGGCCAAAGGGAAGACTTTGGCCGAGATCCGTGCTTTGTGGATGGTTTCAAAGGTGAGGACGCAAATCATCGAGAGCTTGCCTTCTCCGGAACGCCGCCGGAGGAGGTTTGTGTGAGTTTTAGGGGTATTTAAATTTGAGGAAGCTTCGATCCACTGATGCTTCCATTGAGTGGGGTAACCTTTGCCTGAGCAAGGGATCTGTATACGCCTTAAGTGGCTTGAGAGATGGAAATGGAGCACGTCACTTCTTGGTAGCTTAGTGAGCGTTTGCACTCTGGGCAGCTTCGCAGTCTTCATTTTAGTTGTGTGAGTGTTCTTCAAGTCGGCCTGCGGGAGGCGCATGTCGGGCCTTTGGAAGGCGCTGGAAGTCACACCCGGTCGAAGATTTTTGCCTCGTCAATGAGAGGCCCATGGGTTGCAAAGGGAATTCACAAAAAATAGTTCCACGGTATTTTCCTCACTAGGAAAGTTTTCCTTTGCAAGCCCTGTGTCTCAAATTTTAGTTTGACACTGAAGATTGTTGCGCCTGCACTTTTGGAACAATTTGGAGCCATGAGTACAGCTTGCACAAAGAACATAACGACCAGGAAACCATATAGCACGTTCTAGCTATCATCTGTATATCTATCATCTACAATTGAAACACTATTTTTTAGCAACGCGAGACTATATAGCTGGCGCCATGAAGTACAGTGTCCTAACGCAGCTTCTCCAAGTGCTGGTGCGCGCGTTTGGCACAGTTCAGCCAAACAAGGAAACTGCTTTCCAAGAGGATTGCGCTGGAGAAGGCCTCCTGTGCACCGGCGTGCGCCTCCAACAATTGCGAGCAAAGAGGAGGGGTGTTTTTTGGCTTGTATGAGAATGAAGGACGGAAGGAAGAAAGAAAAAAGAAAGAACGATAAAAAGAAAGACAGAAAGAAATAAAACAACATAAATTAAAAGGAGAGAGAAAGCAAGAAAGAAATAAATAAAGAATAAAAAATACAGAAATACATAACTTATAACAGTACAAAGAAAACAAAAAAGAAAGAAAGAAAGACACAAAGAAAGAAACAAAGAAAGACGTAAGCAAACATAACATAGAGAGAGAGAGAACGGCGTGTATATCCTGCGTAGATGTCTAAGACATGTCCGTGTTTGTCTGAGCTGCACGCTGAGATCCGCTATCAGAAGGGCCACGACATCATGACGGGACTTGGTTTCATGACGATCCTGCACAGTGTGACTTGGAACATTTCATTGGCTGTTCATTTTGTAAGTGGTTGTGGAATGTGAAAACGACCCACAGCCAATATAAACAATTCTTTGATATGGATCCGTGGTTGCCCGTGGTGCTGAGTTGCGGACAC